AGGTTGATAGAACATGGTGAGCAGAGATAGTAGAAGATAATGGAGCACTGGTTCCCAAAGAGGAGAGTGTGTACAATTTGAGAATGACTAGTGACCAAAATGTCATTCAGCCATTAATTTGGATTTATAATAGACATAATAACAGGTTAAAAAACCCATGTATTTAAAAACACTTTGCTCACTAATATCAGGCAGGTTACACTCAGGCACACACTCATCCCCAATAGGTGGCAGTAGTGCACAGTACGTTTGCCAGCTTAAAAAAAAAAAGACGCACAGGCTATGGTTGTGCAAGTTGTTGAACAAGAAAAAATGGTTGAAAGGGATGGAAGACAATACTGCATTGCCTAACTTCCTGATGGCAGCCTAGCTAATAGCAATCCAAATGTGCCAGCTAAACGCCAAATGTGTTGCTGCCAGCACAGACACCAGAGCTAATGTTAGCTACATTAGCTTACGTTAGCCTAAATTATTTTTTAATTAAATAAATAAAAAAAAAGAATTTATAAAAAAAACAATTCATTAATTGACTGTGAAATAAATGTTGGTGTCAGTTTAAATGTGGACAGTTTAGTAGATGTAAAGAACAACATGGACGTAAAGTAAAACAGGGACATCATAGAAGAAGGAAGGAGTTCTACAATGTCATCAGACCAGTACACTATTACAGAATAAAGACTCAAGTGGTGCAAACTGGATTTGTTTTTCCCGTTCTTGATAATATCTTTACGCATGTCTGAAACGTCCTCATTCCCTTGAGGCCTCAGAGCTCGAAATATCCTGGAAGATATTCTAAAACACACTGTCTCCGTTTTTGTTCAGATGGGGTTAAAGGCGTAATCAGATGTTTGTGCTCAGCTTTTTTTTACTAACCAGATCGATGAGTTTGGTGATGGGAATCTCTCTAATGGGCTTCTTCATGCGACACAGAGTTTCCAATGAAGTTCCAAAGCAGCTGGACAAGTAGTTTCCAGTGATGGTGAGGAAAAAGTCCTTCCCTCGGTCCAGGTGGAGAACCAGGATGTCTTCGATGGCATCTTCTCCAGAGTTAAGCAGAGTCACGGAGTCTTTGCTGACGTAAACTTCCAGATAGATTTCCAGAGTCTCAGCTGAGCAGGAGAGAAAAAAAAATCAAATGTTTGCGTGTTTATAAGCTTATATCAATATGATTTAAAGACTACAGAGAAGTCTAGAAGATAGTCTAAGGGACTGAGGTTTAATGAAAGGAGACCTGTTCAAACGTAGCCCTAAGTCAGAGGTTTTCAACTGACAGTAGAAAAAGAGAGAGAAAGACTTAATCAGTCTTTGGTTGCGGTAGAAGAAAGATGTAAAAAAATAAAATAAAATACAATAAAATGTCTCACTAGAAACTATCACTCTTCTTTTTAATTTCCTGGTGTAAACTGAGTAACAGAAGAAGTAAGAAGAACTCATTTTTTAGTTTTTTTCTTCACCTAAGAAATAGTTTAAATACTTATTTATTTGGTTAATAGTAAATGCACTGACTTGAAGATCATCGACTTTGGAATCGGTGGTAGTTTTTTTATGATTATTTTGTCTCTTATCTTGATTGTATTTTCTTTTTCTTTTTAATATTTGTATTATTTGATTTTATGTAATTATGTATCTTTTAATGTTTCATCACAAGCACAAGATTGATGTCCTATAGTATATTAATAGATTTTTAGTCATTAAATATAATGAGTGTTTTATGGTTACATCCGTTTAATATAACTTTTCTTATATTCATAATTTTTTAAGAATACATTTGAGTCTTTCCATATGTGTTTTTGTGTTAGAGTCTCCTTTTAAATACATTTTGTGACAGGTGACAACATGAAAGAAGTGGTGAAGAAAAACCTACATGGTTCCAAAAATCCATCAGCTGGTTCGGCTCTCAGCCACGTTTTACAGTAGTTCGTGTCATTGGGTTTGGGGATGAAGGCGAAGTGACAGGGAACCTGTCCGTCATTCTGGAGGAGGAAACGTTCCTTCTGCAGCTGGCGGAATTTCACATTCTCAAATGCAAACTAAGGAATGAGAGGAGAAAATGAGCATAATTTAAAAAAAAAAAATTAAAAAAAAAAATCACAGAAATGTTCTGCTTGTTTCTTAATGTTTTTTTTTAAGGTTTTCAATCTTACCTCCCTCCTGCTCAGAGAGACAGAGGGAAGAAAGTCGTTCTCCATTCTGTCCATGGCTCGAACGATTTCCTCGAACACTCTTTTATGTCTCTGCTCATTCACCACCTTCACCTGTTGCAAAAATATTCAATTTGTTTTATCTGTCGATTCAAATCTATATTTCAGCAAAGTCTGTTTGAACCAAGGAAATATTCAATTTTTTTATCTGTCGAATCAAATCTATTTCAGCAAAGTCTGTTTGAACCAAGCGAGTGCCAGGCGTTGTTCTCACTCCGATACTGAAGAGGGAGCTGACTGGTTTGTGATCACTGGTCTGCAACTGCATGTGACTCTGGTATTTGAGCTGCTTGACGTTGTTTCCCCTCCACAGAATTCTGTCACACCAGGCCGGAACACGACACTTCCCGCTACATGAGAGAGGAAACTCAGACCATGAAAACAGACTTTCACACTGAATGTGTCAGTTTTTTTTTTTATTTATCAGTAGTATTCTAGGGATGTCCGATAATATCGACATATGTCAACCAATATTATCGGCCGATATTAGCATAATTATGTAATATCAGTAAGAATCGTTTTAGGTTTTTTTTCCTCCGATAATGAAAATCCGATAACGCAATGCCTGGGTTTCGCTGATGAGACGTAAAAATACAGTAGTATATAGTTCAGAAGTGAAAGTGAATTAGCAAAAGCACACAGCTGCGCACAATGAAATGTGTCCTTTGCGGCTTTTAAATTTTTTTAAATAAATAGTTGAATAAATAATTTTATTTTTAATTTAAAATGTATTTATTTATAAAAATGTATTTATTTATTTGAGACCTAAAAATATAGTAGCATATAGTTCAGAAGTGAAAGTGAATTAGCAAAAGCACACCGCTGCGCACAATGAAATGTGTCCTTTGCGGCTTTTAAAATTTTTTAAATAAATAGTTGAATAAATAATTTTATTTTTAATTTAAAATGTATTTATTTATAAAAATGTATTTATTTATTTAATATAAATAAATTTATAATAAAATGTATTTATTTGATTTAATTTTAATTTAAAATTGAATTTAAAATTGAATTTAAAATATACTTTTAATAAATAATTTAAAATAAACTGCTGCATATATTGGTATCTTGATCGGAAATTAACAATATCGGCATAACCAATATCTAGAAATTCATATCGGACATCCCTAAAAAAATTCCCAAAGGCTCAAAATGATAACTAAGAGTAAAGAGTTGAGGACTTTTTACCTGGAGTCCCATCGGTCTGTTCTGGGATCATATTTGTACGTAGGGATGAAGGTGATTTCTCCCTCCATGAAGTCAGTAAACGCTCTTTTTGTCTGTCTCTGGATGTTCAGCTGCGACAGTGAATAACAGCAAAGTGAAATGGATCGTTTTGTTGTAATGCGTGACAGTAAGTTACACCACGACTAACACTGGTCCCAACAGCCCCGTCTGTCATTCATTTACCTGATCAACTTCCAGAAGCTTCTTCAACTCATTCTGAGCGATGAGCTGTTTCACCTCAGCGGAATCATACATGAAGAGACGGTAGTTCAAATCCCCGAGCCAGATCACCACGCTGACACACAAACACAGTAAAGAACAAACATCTTTATCGTAGCAATGCTCTAAGAACATTTTTCCCAATCATTTACAGGTGGGTTAATACGCAGTGGGCAAACGACAAAAAGGCAACAAGTCGGAACTCACTCGTGTTTGACGATGCTCAGAGGTGGATGTTCCAGTAGGTGAAAAGTCATTCTGGCACAAATGTCCTTATAGTCCTGGTTGCGTCGTTCAAAGTCTTCCACGTGAGCTGCCAGGTGGGAGTTAACGATGCAGAAACTCGTGTTGTGAAAAACGAACCTTACGGCTACGCCTCCTTTGTTTCCCTGCACATGAATAAGGTACAAGAACAACACCGTTAACACCCCATAGAAAAAAACAAAAACAAAAAAAAAAAAACTAATTTCATAACTGCTGTGAGGCTCAAGGCTCATAAACGGCTAAAACTAAGACAGAAACTTTGGCCTAAATTACAGCAATCCGGTAAAAATCAGGAAAACTCCATGGAAACTCCATCACTATAAACTGTTAACATTAGCCGTATGTGCTAAAACAATATTAATCGAAATGCAAAAAAATCCCAAAGTAGAGCATCTCAAACATCTCTTTTTAAGAATACAATATAAATGTTGTGCAAACCATTTTTCCCATGATTCCCGTGCCCACATGCTCGGCAGCGATTTCCTTAATGTGATGTTTCAGATTCTTATTGACAAAGACGGCGAGCATCATCCCCACAAGTCGGATGATCCGAACCTAGACGAACAAAAACAAGACATCATCTGTATATTTCTCTTCTCTCGACGAGATCAAAAAATCATTCAGGGGGCGACCTTCGCTGCTCACCCTCTTATATTTCGCTTTGGGATGTAAACTCCTCTCCACAGCCTCAACCCAGATCTGCTCTTTGGACGAGTCCATGTAGAGGAATGCTTCAGTGCTCAGGTCCAGCTCCTGAAATCTAAAAAATATATGTTAATACGTTGTAAAAGTCAGCTGAAAACGAAAGAAGAAATGTTGCATAAACGTGTTGTCCTGACCCAATAGCATAAACATCAGGAGGCTCTGCCTCACAGCTAAGCCACAGCTCCAGGCTGCTGTCAGGGGACTGACCATTCACATTCCACGTTCCAACGAAAAACCTGCAGCACAACGACGATGATGATGATGGGAGCCTTGGTAGCATATTTCAATTGTTTTTTTGTTTTTTTTTTACCGACAGCGTAAACCATGTGCAGAGATTGTCTCACCTGAAGCCTTGAATGTCCACATACTCGCTCTCCTTCTTCCCCAGTCTATGTTTGATCAGATATTCTCTCTGTCCTGCCTGACTGGGGAAAGAAGCCTGCCTCGTACTGTACGTGGTGGGACTGTCACACCAGGAGAGGGGTCTGTCTGAATGATCCAACCCTGACCTGAAACTACTGCAGAAAAAAAAACAAAAAACAAAAAAAAAAACAAGTTTTTAAACCTCAAAATACACATCTGTCTAGACCAGACCACAATTATCCTAAAATTATCCAAATTATCCTAAAAGATAAAAGAAAATGCTAAAATGCTTTTATCATTTTCCACGCCATCTATTGGGGAAACGTGGGTATTGCAGGGAAAAGGCAAAAGTATAATGATAATACAAATAAATTATATAATTTGGAAAAGTTTGGCGGGCCGGATTAAAACGTTGAACGGGCCGCATCCTTAGTTTGCCCATGCCTGGTCTTGACACAGATTCAGAAGTAATAGAAATATGCATTAAAACAATCGACACAACACATCATTATATCATTACCACTAGGCAAGAGTGTAGAGAGGACACCGCAGATACAGGGTTCTTGGTTCTCATGGCGCTTGTAAACTTTTAGTTCCTTCTTTGTCCTTACTTGCTGATAGAAACATATTTAGTTCCTGCAACTATGTGAGTTCCAAAGGGTGATAATAGATCTTTGGCCTATCCCTATAAACCCAAAACCAGACTGGTTGAAGGCGGTTTGAAATTAATATCCGATAATGACATTGCAAAAGGAGCCCGTTATTTTTAATTCTTCCTCTTATTTTGCTGTTGCCCCTTCAATCTGTTCGGAGCAGAAGTAGCATTTATAATGTGTGAAATAAACCAGTCTGAAAATAAAACGTGTGCGTGTGTCATGTTTTTTTTCTTGTGTGAGGGAGGGGGGGGGAGCGCAAAAATGTTCTTATGATCCAAAAGGGGGCGCCAGCAGAGAAAGTTTGCGAACCACTCTCTTAAGTCATACATGAAGTTTACTTTGAAGAAAAACAACTCAATGTCAATACAGGTTTTGGTGACGTTAAATCTGCAGCTTATATTCCAATTTGACAAATTGTCAATATAAAAAACATCAAATATTAGGAAATTTCAGAAATATATAGAAAATATTAGGAAATATATAACTTGACTTCCCACATAGGGACCAAATAAACAGCACAGAAGATAAAGAAATACAACAACAAACGAGATGTGTTTGAACTCACTCTGGTTTAGTGTTGTAGCTGGAGAAATTCTCTTTAGTCTGGACAGACGCAGCGCTGTCTCTAGTGACCAGTGCAGAAGACTGAGGGTTAGACGGAGTGACGGAGGCCTTGCGAGGAGGCAGAGGAGGAACAGGGGGAGGTTCTTTGGAGGCAACCAAACGGTTTTGCTGGTTCTTTATCTCTTCCACTTTGAGAGCATTGCTCGAGCCATCTTCAAATCCTAAGTTGAAAGCAAGGGATGGAGCAGTGTCTGGGGAAGATAGAATTCAGAATTGAATCAAGAAAGTCTGAGGGTCTCAGTGGAAGATCTATTAACCTCCCAAAAGATATGGAATTATGGCTGGTACGTTCCCTTTACAGATACAGCCACATAGAATCTACTCATGATTTGTGACTGATGTTTGGCCGGAGATCGTGCGATGGGCGTGGTTAATGGACTTTATATGTAAATAAAAAGCCTGCACTATAGCTGGCCTTACACAGAAACTGAAATCAGTCAAATTGACCAATAAGGAGGCTAATTTATTGGTCAATAATAATATATATATATATATATATATATAT